TAATTATTCACATCCCATGCAGCTGGGAAGTGGCCGAATGGGAATGAACCCAACTTTTTTTTCGTTCAGTGTATAGGCCAATGCTGCTTCGACTTAAAGTTATTAAAAGTTGATTACAGTTCATTAAAGTTGGCATGAAACGGAAGTTGAGATTGTAATTTTTCCTTGTCGTGACGTACATCTGAGTGAAACGGCTTCTGAAATGAGAAAAAATGTAGGGCAGGGCTTGATTTCGTCCTTCGGGAATTGATTGGATCATTGGAGGTTGGGTGTTGCAAACAAAATGGAGGCAGATTTGAATGCGATTCTCTGAGAGGCGGTGGACCGATAGCCGCGCCCTCATCGGATCTCCCCGCACCTATTCGCCATTGCACGTGACTGAAATAGAAGAGAGGTCATTTCGATGGGGGAGGTAAGGGTAATGTATTTGATTAAAGAAGTGCACAGATAAATCATTTATACTAAACACTACATATTAGTATTACATATAAAAAGAAGATTTGTCAAATTTGATTTCATGCCGACTTTAAAAGTGTCAGAGCCAGCCTTAGTTCGAGAAATATCCTTACAGAGTGGTAACTTGAGAAAAGACAGGACAGAATTAATAATGAAGACAAATGAGGGAATAACTTGAGACTGTGAGAGGACGGGGTGAAGACAACAGATGCCCTTGATGCCATATCTGGGCTTAATTTTGCCGCAGTTTGTGGTAAAGCAGACAAACACTTTTTGCCTTCACAAGGGATCTGAACCACATGACATTCTGCTTTTTTCGAGCAATTAGAAGCTCCTCCATCTGAATGTGATCACACAGACTCAAGCTAATGCACATTTCACTCTGCTTCCTGACCTCAATGACAGTGATGTCTCACAAGCAGAATGTCTTAGAATGAGAGTAGACTGATTTCACCACATAATAAACACAACATGTCTGCCTGTCTCGGTGATTTATGTGACACATTCCAGCTGTTGGACGTAGATGACCCGAGCCTCTGTTCACTCTTGTGTCCTGTCATAAGCCCTACTCTCGTAACACATGGGACGCACTCATTTGCGCTTACATTTTATCCACTTTTATCCAGAGCCACTTGAAGATTATTTTAGGCCTTGTCTACACGTGTTAATTTGAAAACACATCTTTTCACATCGTTTGGCCTACTGCACACGGAGACGGCGTGTTTGTCCTGCGAAAATTTAGCTTTAGCTTTAGAAAATTTAGCTCCCAAGTGGATACGTTGTTTTCGCATTGTAGTGTGAACTGGGAAAACTGAGGTATTTTAAAATGATGATGCTTGTTTGGTGCATCAGTGCAAATGTGACGCATATTGAACTACATATGTATGTTTATACCGCTGTTGTACCAGCCATTTCCGTGTGGATGAGAAACTTTTGGAAAACGTTTAAAAACGTTAGAGTGGACGTTTTTTTGTGAAAGTGGAATTTCTCTTCAACATTTTAAAAACCTTTATTTTGTTGGCCCACTATAGACATTCTGAACTACATGTCAACTAAGGCCCTGTTTACACGAGAACGCTCGCGGGTGAAACCGTAAAAATATTTGATCGGATGTGCCTTTTGTTTACACGGCGACGGCGTTTTTGGGGCTTAAAAACGCAAAAAAGTGAAACCACCCTCCAGAGTGGAAATCTTAAAAACGCTCCACTGCCGCGTTCCCGTGTAAATGGTAAAAACGCAAAAGTCTGCTTGACAGTGAAGGTTGTACGCAGGCGCGCGGGCTTGGTGTTGTTGTAGTAGGCACTCATAGCCGCCTGAAGTGCATACTACATCGAATTTCAAACACTTTTGCGTCATCATCTGCACACGGATTTCCCACCCAAAACGCTCGTCTAAACGCAGAATAAAAAGTGATAACGCAACGCCACTTTTGCGTTTTCTCTTTAGAATCGCTTCCATGTAAACATAGCCTGTTATAAGTAGACATAAGTAGATAACATAAGTAGACTGTTAGTAGACTGTTAGTAGACTTTTAGCGTTCAGGTTAGTAGAATAAGTTGACTTGCAAAGTTAGTCAGAAGAATGTCTGTTGGGAAGCATCAAAATAAGATGTTAGCAGATTTTAAGCAGACAGTCTACTAATTCTCTAATGAAAGTTAGTTGACTTGCAAGTTGCAAAGTAAAGTTTGTAGAATGTCTAAAGTTTCCTTCATTGTAATTATTATAAAATTGATTGAAAACTGTAGGTGTTAGACATACTTTCTGGACAACATGTAATCAACAACAGCCTTAGACATGATCTTCTGCCATTAATTTTTTAGGTGTTTTGGGGTTTTAGAATTGAATCTAGACCACCAATAATCCTTAAGGGGAAAAATCCCCCTTACAGAACCAAAGACTGCAGCTAGTTTGAGGCTGTGGTGAATCAGACACACACCTGTCCTGGCATCATAAAATCTCGCTCTCTGAGATAAATGAGTGTATTAGGCTTGCATGAGCCTGCAGGGAGGTGGATAGACAGACAGAATATGAATATAGTGAACTGAACATTGCCTGAATGCGTTTCATCTGATGGCATTAACTCAGCCATCAACCATCAGTTCGGAACATAGTTGATAAAATTTGAATCATTGGATATTATATAATGTCTTGACATGCTCGTTTGGCTCGTCTGTTCTTTCGGTGTATACTGACTGGTCTAAGAGCGTGAGTGATAGATTGGATGCTGTCGTCCGAACCATGAATGGCAGAGGGGTGTGAAACAGAGCCGCCAAACCTTGGAATGTCTTGGAATCTTTCCAGGATTCACAAAGGTGTTTAAAAGTGACTCCAACATTTTTCACAAGTGCAGGTAGAATAGACATTTCAGTTGTAATGTTACAGACATCCTTCATTTGTATAGCCTTGGAGAAAGAAGCCATGTTTAGGGATCTGATTTCAAATGCAGAGACAAAAAGAAGCAGATATGACCAGTACTTGATTTGGTAATAAGAATGAAGTAGAAAACGGATAAAGCCTTCGACTGCCAGGATGGAATGAAACAGACTCAGCAGGCTCCGGAATTTTGGGATTCTTTATAGAAGTCTTAATGGTGTCTCAGAGTATTTTAAGATCCGGAGACGAGCTGAATGAACAGCTGTGCGCCTAAACCAGGACTCATTCCAGATGACTTTAGACACATTAAAGCGTGTGTGTCTGTGGAGTTCAGGTTAGATGAATGGATAAAAGTGGTCTGAGACACTTGGAGTACAAAGAAAACTTGAAAGAAGTGCACAGTGATGTATAGTGACCCAGACAGTGTGTTTATGTGTGTGCCTGTGTGTGTGTGTGTGTGTGTCAGTGGTTCCCGTAACATATACTCACAGGTCCTCGAGGCAAGTACAGTTTACTTGTCTTCATATTCATGCCTCAGGGCCTTAGAACACACACTGACTCATTATCTCAAATAACTGATTTATAGAAACAGAAATTGCATTTGGTGTGTGTGTGTGTGGTGAGTAAAGGACTTTCCCTGTATAGACTTTACGATTCCCAGACCCTTGCGTCACGATGAAGTGCGGTGTCCCCGCTTTAGGTGTGTGAGTGTTTGATGTGTCATTCCAGTTGTGCACACACATCAATCTTAACATTCCTCCCTGTCCGAGAATCAGCCAATATCGTGAATAAGCAGCAAAACAGTCAGACACACTGATTTACATTCAGCTTTTTTAGAGAACCTGCTCAGTGTTTAAGCATTACCTTTATAATATTAAAAGACTTGAAATAAATAATAATATGTATATTTTATATTTGTAGATTTTAATATTATCATACCTTGCTTAGCGTATCTCTTCTGCCCCCTACCCCTTTTTACTGTTAAAGCAGTACTGGCCCAGACAAAACAGTTTTTGAAAATGCGTTTGCAAATAATGTGTTCTTCCGTTCAAAAAAAAAAAAAAAGACATGACGGCGCTGAGGAATGAGAATGAAAAGACTAAATAAATGCTACCTGTAAGAATGTGTCATTTGTAGGCTGATTTTCATGAAAAGTGTATATGGCACTATCCAAACTGTTTTATCCAATCCAATGACATGAGTTGAGGGCAGTGGTATCTGTTTGGCCAACTAATGGAAGCTGAAAACCTGTTTGAAAACAATCTAATTGTTTTTGGTGTCATTTGTAGCACAGCAATTACATACTTTACCTACTTTTTTAACATTCCATACTTCACCTTAACGACATACACAAACCCTTTACATTTTGACTGCCAACACCGTATTTAAAACATAGCTACTTACTGCCAACACGTACTTACGACAACGTACTTAAAGGTGGCATGAATTGGGAATACCGATTTTTCTTCCCAATTGTGACGTATATCTGAGGGCAGGGCAGAAATTAATTAGATCATTGAATCGTTGTAGTTTGCTCTCATGTGTGAACGGTTGTCCCATACTCACACCAAAACACGTCATCAAGGTGGAAAAGAGATCTTTTTTTAAGATTATGAGGGTAGATGTGTTTTTTTTTAAATGATGTGCACAAATAAATAAATAAACCATTCATAATGAAATATGCCATAACAAAATAATAAAAAAAGATTTTGTGATTTCATTGTGACTTTAGGTTTTGATAAAAGTGTGAATCATCTGGTTGAGTGCTGATAAGTTGGGAAATATTTTTCTAATCAGGGAAATCTGTTCTCAGTTTCTTTAGAGCTGACTCACCCTGAGATGAGAGCATTGGCGGGGATTAGTGATGAAACACACACACGCGCACACACACACACACACACACACACACACACTGTAAGAGAAAATCGATTGCAGCAAACTAAGAGGACAGTGGATTTACTGTAAACATGACCTCAGTTGTTCATCTACATTTATTTAGCCAATTTCTCACACATAAATGACACTCTTACAAAAATACTCCAGTATAACCATGCTACTTAGTACTGTTACAGATTTGATTATTGGATTAATAGTTCACAGTTTCCATTTTTTTTCCATTCCACTTTACACACTTTGACTTACACGCCGTTCTCTCTGTTTTAATTGCACAGGTGGTTTTGTGAGGGGCGGGAGCTGCACCACTGCCCTGATATTCAGATCTGTCGTGATGGTGACCTGCACACTCTAGTGATAACCGAAGCATTTGAAGACGACACCGGCAGGTACACCTGCGTTGCTTCCAACGCACTGGGAGCAGACAACACCTCTGCAGAGGTCTATATTGAAGGTGAGCTCCCAGCTACGTCATTGTTCAGTACTAATAAAATATGAAGAGTTCAGATGCAAAAGCCTCTAAATGCCATTTGAAATTTTCTTCTTTGATGATGATTTTTATCAAACTTGTATATTTAAGTTCAGTAATTTCACTTAAATAACAATTAATAGGTAATTATCATTGCCATTTAAGTGAAATCACTGAACCTAAATATACAAGCTTGATAAAAATGATCATTTTAGAAGAAAATTTCAAATGGCACTTAGAGGCTTTTGCATCTGAACTCTTCATATGTAAAAATCCTTTAAAAAAATACATTTACTTGAAATTCTTCTTTTCCTTTTTATGTTATAAAGACTAACATTATTTAAAGGCATAGTTCTGTCATCATTAACTTATCCTCATGTTGTTCCAAACCTGGATGAATTCCTCTCTTCTGCTGAACACAAAAGAAGATATTTTGAAGAATGTTGGTAACCAAACAGTTGATGGACCCCATTGACTTTCATAGTGTGTGAAAGAAATACACCCCTACACTGTTTGGTTACCAACATTCTTCAAGATATCTTCTTTTGTGTTTATACAGGAAACTCAGTTAGGTAAATTCATACAGGTTCGGAAGAACTTGAGGGTGAGTAAAATGAGAGAATTTTCATATTTGGGCGAACTATCATTTTAATGAACAGGTTTTAATTCAAGATATAATGCCTGATAGTCAAATAATTATTTTGCACAATTTTGTATTTTGTTGAAAAATTTGTATTTGAATAAATGCCTGGATTTCACATTCATACAATTTCATTAAAATGAAAACATAAATAATTACTTACTATACCACAAAGTAATTATATTTTACACGTTAAATTATTTTTATTAGTATTTAAACGGTGCGATCACATTAGCAACATTTTGGGGAAATTGCGTGGACACTTAAAATCCAGGTCTGGAGCCGTGCCACAGCATGTGTGCATGTTTGTCCTCACATGGCCTTTAACCCTTTGACCTCAGACCTCAGCTGATAGGTTAACCGGCCTTAACTGTGTATTATCTAGCCCCTAATTCACCCACTGACACAAAAGTTCATATTACTCCACCCAAAGCACACGGCAGGTTGTTTGGGTATGAACTGACCATAAATAATACTCAAAGCTGTAGGCTGTTTTGTCTTTGAAGGCCAATAAACCATTAAGAATTTACAGGTCACACAAGTCACTTTCAAAACAAGCAGCTCTCTGTTGGTCAACGCTGTTAATTCACGTGACCAACTCTAACGTGAGCAAAATCTGTGTGGGGAACTTTTTCACCCTTACACGAAACTCCCGTTCTCATGGTTTCCTATTGAAATGACTGTATTTTGCCAACACAAATTTGCTGAGGTATTTCAAGTCAAGTCACTTTTATTTATATAGTGCTTTATACTGTACAATTGTTTTAGCTTTATATAGTGATAACAGGAAAATAATTAAATGATGCAAACAGAATTCAATTCTGCTGTAAAGCATCTCTAAAAAGACAATAGTGTCATTATTCAGCTGAAATCACAGCCCGTTCTCATCCCAAGGCGTCATCTAACTGACGCTTTTGACCATGCGTCAACATCCGACGCTTTAGGCACCCTTTAGCATCAGTTAGATGACGCTATCCTAGTGGTCTAACCCTAACCCTACCCCAGACCTAAACCTGCCCGTGTCATCTAACTGACGCTAAAGGTAAAGCCTTAGGATGAGAATGTGTTAGAAATCAGATCAGTTCGATGTTGGTTCAGTTCAGTTCAATAACGGTGTCATTTTCATTATGTAATGAGTTAAATTCAGCTATAAAGAAGGTCTGCAGAAAAGAGTGATGTCATCATCCAGCGCAGTTCAGTTCTCATCTGAGAGTGTCAATTGCTGAATATTTAGAACCTGATTTACTAACAGTTTGTGGCAACGCAAACCCTCTTTTTGGCATTTAAGAACTAATGTCAGGATTTACCAAAGACATGCGGTGAAAAATGAGCGCTGAAAAGGCGTGGACACATATTTTTGCGGCTGACCTTATGCATTTGTTGAAGTTTACATTTCAGATGCAAAATTTATTGGAGGAGAGTATTTAAATGAATAATAAGGTGATTTACTAAGGTTTTCACTAGTCAATATATTGGTTTTTGCAGCATCATTTTAATGGCCAAAAAAAGAATGTCTTAAACCAGACGTTAATTTGCCCTGTTTAGTAAATCTGGCCCTAAGTGTCCTAAACTAAGAGGAAACCAAACTCCATCAGTGACAGAAATAGAGAAGAAAACCTTGGGAGAAACCAGACTCAGTCGAGGGGCCAGTTCTCTTCTGGCTAGGCTAGAACATGGTGTGGTTTGATTTCAGGCTGCATCACAAGTCAGATTGTGGATTAATATCATTAAAAAGGAAGGTAGCCTGCAGCCGAACACGTTTCAGACCAGGAATTGCAATTCTTTTTTTTTCTTTTTCTTATTATATTTCTCTCTATAAAGGTGTTTCCTCCTCAGACTCAGACGGTGAAGGATCCGTGTCGAAGTCTAGGTCTGGAGCCATGCCACAGTATGTGTGTTTCAGCATGTTCTTCTTTGCATGACCTTTGACTCAGACCTCAGCTGACAGCTTTACTGTCCCTGACTATCTAATAGTCCCTTAAAAGGTTCATATTACTCCACCGCGAAGAACATGGTTCTTTGGGTTTAAACTGACCTTAAATAAGAGTCAATGCTGTTAAATTGCCAATAATCCATCAATCAAGAATTTAGAAATGGTGTTGTCTAACCTTTTTTCTTTGTGACATTGCTTGAACTCTCTTCAGTCACCTCTGAACTCATCTGCTCATTTCTCCTCCTGTCCTCTCTTGCCTCTGCTGGCCTCTCAGTCTTCCCTTTCTGTTTACACAAATTATTAAGCGCTTGGCTCTGGTTCCCTCTGACATCATCACAGCCATTTGGGATTACGCTCTCATTGGCTCCAAAGTCATTTATAAGGTGCAAACTACATAGTGAAATTCATACAGTGTGGAGTGGATATTACTTGTGTGTAAGTTGGTGCGTGTTAGAGAGAAATTACTCTTAGCTTACATTTTACATTCTATAAATTTGCTGTTGGAAACCTAATGTTCCGAAAGTCAGACAAACACTATTAGACTTTAATTGAATGTGTTAAGGCTGATTAGATGTGGATATAGCATTAGATGTGTTCAAAATAATATCAATCTCAATAGACATCTATTCACCAATCACTGAAATACTATTATAGTTTTTATTGTGGTAATATTTAGATTTTATTTTTCCACTTTTGTATTCATTTTAGTTTAAGTTTTAAACTTCTGTTGTGTTTTTGTCGTTTTTTTAGTAGTTTCTGTAATATGTCTGTATAGTTTTTATTCAGTTGTCGTTTTAGTTGTTTTAGTAAATCAGTATTTAGTACATCAAGTTAAGCTCAAAGAAAATGAGAAATGTTTCCCTGGCAAGTAGCTGAAATAAGATACATTTCAGTTATTTTTATTTAATTTTATTATAGGTAACAGTTATTTTATTTCAAGTAACTAAAATGGTTTTAGTTTTAGTTACCTATAATAACACTGACCAACACTGGAACGAATTCTGACCACTGACCTATTCTGAGGCAAATACAACCCAGCTATTTGGGTTTTTTTTGCCCCGAAATTCCGGTACCTCTTTAACTGAGTCACATGTAATGAACTGTAACTTTATGTGAAGAAATGTTAATAGACTGTGATGGAGCAAAAAGATTGATTAGCTTGTCATACAGTAGCTTTATATAATCTCTTCAACTTTCAGACTCAAAGCATGAATATTGCAAGATGTGAGAGGTGTCCTTACTTTATATCTGTTTTTTTTTTTAAATTATGACTTTGTTTTAGTATTGCTGATATATTTTCTCAGCTCTGAATAAGGTTTGTTTTATTGTTGTTGATATGTTCTCTCAGGGCACAGAAGAAAACTAGCTCAGTTTCCTTGACGATTCACACATCATCACCAAAGAGCTCAGAGAGGCAACCTCACCGCTCCACGCTAGTCCAGCCTCTTTCTGCTACACCACAGAGAGTAAGAAATAAAACACACACACACACACACACACACACACACACACACAATTTTTGTGCTGAAACTGTTTAAAAAAATCCCATTGTCCCAAAGTCAATGAGCTTTTTGAATAGGTTTTTGGTTAAATCCCTGAAATAAGGTTGGTAGTTAACAGAAGCTCAAGATGAGTTCACATTTTAAGTCTACAATAAAAAATGTCAGTTATCCCCCCCACTCATTCATTTTTCTAAGCTTTTATGTGACTTGAAAAAATGGTTGCTAACAAGTGGCTATGGAGGTTGTCAGAGACATTGTCTGATTTAGCTTTCACTGACTGCTATCAACTGCAAGAGAAATGCACATGCACAAATATATCTGGAAAACTCATTAGGAATGACAACAGCAGATGGACATATAAAAAACTCACACTCTCTGGAAAGATCCAGAATAACCACACATATTGTCTATCTCCCTCAGGTCCAGAGTCCAGTTTCCTCACTTTATGCCAGTGATGCGCTTGTCAAAGCACCCCCTAGCTTCACTAAGGTAATGACTTGGCCACACACACACACACACACACACACACACAAACATGCGTCTGGTTTGCTATTTTTGTGGGGGATTCTCCATAGATCTAATGATTTTTATACTGTACAAATTGTATATTCTATCCCATTACACTAACCCTAAACCCCCAAACCTACCCATCACAGAAAATGTTATGCTTTTTTACGTTTTAAAAAAAACAAAAAAACATCAGTATGATTTATAAGCTTGTTTCCTCATGGGGACCTTAATTTAGGTCCCCACGGTGACACGAGTCCCCATGAGTCTGTGCATTCAGGTTGAAGTCCCCACCAGGATAGAAAAACATGTACACTCATCTCTAGCTGAATTTGCATGCAAACGTTTGAGAAATTGGTGAATTAATCAGGGTATGACCTTTCCCAAATTATGCCAAGCCTCTGTCTTTCTCTCTCAATGTGTGTGTGTGTTATTTGTGGCTCATGTGATTCAGTGCTCTGAGCAGGCCTAGGCAGAGCTTCAGACTTCAATGCCAAATGTTATGTTTTCTCAATGTGCAAAATAATTTTTCACCTCCTTAAAGATAAAAGTTTGTTTTTTTAGACCCCCATCATCCCATCAATCTCCCTAATGAGAGGATGTGCCTTTTTATAATACATAGTTTTGAATCCTCATCACAGTCCTAAACAAACAGGCACACAAATGAAATGGCTGGATTATATTGACATTCTTCTTGGCTTGATCTTTAAATAAACCTATATAACACGTCACTTGTAACCACAAGCATGCTACACACACATACACAAAGCCTCAAAGTGAGTGAACACACTACAAACAGAAAGCAACTCTCACACACATGTATAAACAAACTTTTATGGGTTTCTGACAGCTTCTTACCTCTATGTCTGTTATGTCTTCAGCCTGAAAGAGTGTGTACATTACATGGGAATGAAAGAGGTGCTGAAGAAAGAGTAGAATTAGTGGTTTTACACCTTTTCATCTGTCACTTCTGTTTTTCCATTCATCTTTCTGTCCTCTCTCCCTGTGTTTACCTCTCAGTCGTGTTGAGCTGTGTTTCTCTTGTTCTGTAGATGTTGCAGGACGCTCAGGCATCTGAAGGTCAGGTGGTGGTTCTGGAGTGCCGGGTGAGAGGTAGTCTTCCTCTGCGGGTCCAGTGGTTTCGAGAGGGCCAGGAGATCCAGGACTCCCCTGACTTCCGCATCCTGCAAAAGAGTAAGAGGAACTACTAAAGGGACATTCAGTAGTTCCTTGCTATTTTTAGTATCGCTATACTTTTTGTACTCTAAGAACCGATACCACAATGGTGTTAGACGCTGACTGACATCAAACATTTGCATCATCAAACACTGACCTACTAGTGCATCCACAGAGGCGGCAGCCTGTAGCTATGTAGCAGTCAAAGTTGTGAATTTAAAGGGGTCATGAACTGGCTTTTTAAATTTTATTATATTGTTTTCTGAGGTAAACTTATGACGTTCGCTTGGTTTTTACATTCAAAAACATCAAAATGAATAAGTAATAGGCTATTTTCCACCCTAGTTTTGAGCCCAGCTCAAAAACGCTCTGTGTTTATGGGCATCTCGCACTGGAGACTTGGAAGTAAACGCCCACTGCTGTGAGTGGATAACAGTTTTGCATATTATAATGAGTTTTAACTCACCTCGTCTGTGTACGTGAGGAAAATTGTTTTGAAAACGTCTAATGTTGTAAAATGGCAACTGGAATGATTATCCCATACATGTTCGACCCAGAGTCTGTGTGTTGCACGATTCCTGTCGGATCCAATATAGACGGCACAGCACCATTCTTTACTCTTAATCGGTCTGGAAATACAGTCTTGTTTACAAAACAATCCTCTGTGAAATGAAGCAAACAGGCAGACAATGTTTTACCCTCATCAACTGTAACGTCATTAAAAATAAAGTTTATCCATGCAGTCCTATTGGAATCCAGAGGAAGCAAATGCAGCGACTGCCTTCATCCACAACCAGGCGCTGCACAATATTTTGCATTGCTCTTTGTTTCTTTATTTATAAAGCACTATTCTAACAACAGTTAGTTGTACCAAAGTGCTGTACAAAAAGTTCTAAAATATGAATTAAAATAAATGCAAAAACACTATTTATTTCTTAATGTGTAAAACTTAGTACCAAACTACTGAATGCACCTTTGAATGGAGTCATTTACTCATCATTTACTCACCTTATATGACTTGATTTTTTTTCTGTGGTCCACTTTCATAGTGCTTTATTATTTTTAATATTTGAAACCATTGAATATTCTTTCAAACTCCCCCTTTTGTGTCCCTGGGAAGAAAGTAAGTCATCTGGGTTTTGGAACAAAACGAATAAATGTTGACAGAATTTTTCTTTTTTTGAGTCACTATTTAAACTATTTTAGGAACTGTGTTTGGTTTTTTGAATTACTGATATGTAGTGATTTGTTTTTCTCTCTCAATTCCCATATCCCTCTTTCATCAGAGCCAAGATCTGCAGCAGAACCCGGTGAGTCTTTTTTTTTTCCTCCTGCTTCCACTTTCCTCTATTTTCACTCATTCATAAAACACTTTCCTTCAGATACATGTGGATTTATCAAGAAGATAATTCTCTTAGCCTGTCAGAAAGCTCAATGTTTATGACATGACATCATCTCTATGCATGCAATTTGGAATAAATATGGTGCGAAAATCTCGGAATAACAGAACAAATGAACGGCACTAATGTATATCAGCACCTGGGGTTGAGTCACATAATTTCTCTGTTCATGAGTATGGCTCACCTTCTTGATCTAAGACTAGTAAATCTCATCAATTTCTCTGTTCATGAGTATGGCTCACCTTCTTGATCTAAGACTACTAAATCTCATCTCTATTTTTGGGTGTGTCTCAAACTGCTCACTAGTTTATTAGGACATAATAAACTGTGTTGGGTGTGGTGGGGGGGTTATTCATTTCTCTTTTAAAACAGAATTTCTCAATAGAAATTCCCAGATTGCATAAAAATATGCGAATATTAGCCACTCACTCCATACACTTATCAGAAATGTCGTAAAGTCATCAGAAAAGGGAAGTGAGCACATTTCATAACGGTTTTATTCATTGAATATGTATGATAAACAAATGAATGATTTAATGAGTGTTAATACATTGTTGTGTTTGACAAATACCATTTACATTTTAATATGAGCCCCGTATCCTTAATGATATTGTGGGTAATTGAGTCATCAGTGTCCCAATGTGTAGGGATCAAGGCCCTGGCTATTGCCCAAAGCAGTATTCACAATTTACTGAATCACCTCATAAGAAACAAAAGGAATGTGACACACAGCCTGTGTCTGCAGCAACAGACTTCTCTCTGCTATTGAATCACCTCTATAACCATCAATTACCTGTCTACATTCACCACACCTGTCTATCTAATCGTCTAATACCGTCTACATCCCTTCCTTGTTACAAGCAATATTTATGATGTTTAATATGTTTCTGGAGATAGCATTGTTTGACTACAGTAGATTGTGTTGTAAAACTAGCCAGTTGCAGTGGCTTGTGTATTGAATTATCGGACTGTTGTTAAATTCATTGTAATAATTAAATGTAATTAATTAAATCTATTCGTAATCTGATATTGCTTGTGATCTTGATGACTTTGTTATTGATGGCTTCTGTGATTGGTCTTGCAGAGGAAATCTGCACGTTGGTAATTGCAGAGGCGTTCCCTGAAGACGGAGGTTTATTCTGCTGCACTGCAACCAACCAATACGGCTCAGTTAACAGCACTGCACAACTCACTGTCACACCAGGTGCGTTTACACTGTATTTACAATGACTAAATCTGAGATCAAAGTTCATGGCCATGTAAATATTTAAATATTTTAGTGAAACATTGTTGTAGAAGGAGGTTAACATTTAAAGAAACATGCCCATGTGAAAAGAAAAAGAGTGATCAAACAGTCACATATAACTAATATCTATCTTATATACTGTAAATGAATACTCTAACGGTCAAAAGTTGCGGGTCAGTAAGATTTTGTAGGCTGCATGTTTTTTTTATCAATATAATAATAACAGTAATATTGGTAAATGTAATTGGAATTTTAAAAAGTAATAATAATATTATATTATTATGATGAATGAACTGAATTTTCTGTCTCCAGTGTCTCATGAACATTTAGAAATCATTCAAATATGCTTATTTGGTGCTTAATATAATATTCTTAATATTATCAGGGTTAAAAGTACTGCTGTACTGTACGGCTTAATATTTTTTGTGTAAACCGTAATAGATTTTTTTTTTTAGGATTATTTGATGAATATAAAGTTAAAAAGAACAGCAAAAGAACAGCATTTTCAGCAACCTCTCATTTTAAGCAGTAAAGTTAGGTGATGTAACACAGGAGTTGTAATGAATTAATGCATTTACAAAGCAAAATACCCGCTCCAAAAAAGGCGTAGGATCTCCGTCAGTGATCTTTTGATGACATGTTATGGGGCCCAATGTGGTACATCTTGAAAACATGTCAGTTGCATGAGGTCAACCAGCCATGTCCTGTCTACATCACTCCAAGGTCTGAGTGTGGGGTGAGGAGTGAGGATGCAGTATGTGCTGATAGCTGTGTGTGTCACATGGTAAAGGCAGAAGAGGGATGAATGTTTACACAATGTGCTGGAGTGGGTTTACTCATATTTCCAGGAGTCCTCGAGCCTCAAGTCTACTACAGAGCCATTTAAGTAAATCTGAGACAATCTAAGCCAGATTTCATGTCTAATAAAGGATCACATTTTAAGTGTGGATTAACTGTTGACCCCGTAGTTATTATAAGTTGTTGTTTTTCTCCCACTGTATGTGTGTTTGTGTTTTGTAATGAGTTGTTCTACAGACCAGATTATTTCCTTCCAACTGGATTTCAACACACTTAATAGGAAAAGGATTATGTTCTCACCCTATAATGAGCGCTGTATGTCTTCTGTTATCTTGTATTTCTAGTTGCAGAAGAGTTTCCCAGCAACGGTGTATCTGGGGACGAAAGTGTGTTTGAGGACAACCAATCATTCCCGCCTCCACCTCCTCCACCCACTGAGATTAGTTTGTTGGAAGTCCCACCCAAAACCCCACCGAGTGCTGAGGCCTTCCAGATCAACGAGCTGGACATCTGGCCCAGCATCACCGCATTGCCTGTTCAGGTCTCCACAGATAAAGATCCTCATGAAAGTCTACCCAACAGACCTCTACAAAATGGTCAGACCTTAAACAAGCCACCAGACAAGAATCTACCATCACCTTCAAGTGCGAAGGAAACAGCGGCTCCACCTCCATCACCTTCAGCGGTTAAGGCTCCACCTCTCCCCACCAAACCCAAACCTAAACTGTGAGTACTGGTGCTGAATCTTGTGCATCGTCACAGAATCTGATTTCACCAAGTACAACATGTTTGTGGATCCGCATCTTTGTTGATTTTGGAACAACGTTTCAATCAACCAATCAGATTTGAGGGACAAGTTTACAGTTTAGGCTTAAAACAGGGTTAGGTGATTCTACATCAGTGTTATTCACCTATCATTTCCTTCTGATTGTAGGGATAAGTTATGTTAAAGGGATAGTTCACTTTGAAATTAATTTTTGATATGTTTTAGCTCACCTCAAGGGCATCAAAGATGTAGGTGTCTTTGTTTCCACAGTATTTTCAATTTTGATATTTTTAGGTCAAACCGTTGTTGTCTGTCAGTCATATAATGGAGCTCAATGGGGTCTTCCTCAAAGAGCATGCACAGAGAAGTCCAAATTAAACATGATTTAATGACACATTGATGGCCTAAGACAAGAAACGAGCGGTTTGTGTGAGAATATCGTTTTTACCTCTTGTAATCACAGTCACTTCCAAGTACTCTTGAGGGCGAGGGCGCTTCTGTCTGTGCAAGCGCCGGAAAGCCCCGGAAGTGATCTCTCGCGCGTGTACGTCACTCATTGTTTACACAGAGATTTCGGAAGTGTTGCCCTTCACTGTGAAGATCTAAAAATATTTAGATATACAGGAAATTGCAATGGAAGACGATATAAATACTGTTCGTTTTCTCACACAAACCGCTCGTTTCGTGTCTCAGGCCATCAATGTGCATTTACATTTACGAGTCATTAAATCATGTTTAATTTGGACTTCTCTGTGCATGCTCTTTGAGGTGAACCGAGGGAGGACCCCATATACCCCCATTATATGACTGACAGACAAGAATGGTTTGACCTAAAAATATCAAAATTGAAAATACTGTGGAAACAAAGACACCTACATCTTGGATGCCCTTGAGGTAAGCTAAAACATATCAAAAATTAATTTCAAAGTGAACTATCCCTTTAAGTCAGGGATTTGTTTATGAAATTTTAAGACAGGAATGTTCCAGGGTCAACAAAACATGTGAACCCACGCATATAACTCTCCAAATTCAGGACACGCTTCAGTACATCGTCACAGTCCCATAAAGTTATTTGAACTAATTTCTTCTCTTTAACTACATTGTCTTAATGAGTCTTGGATTTTAAACTCAAGTTTATAAGTTTTCAAAAATTAAACTTAATATAATCCATTGTTTTGACTATTTGTTCGGTGAAACAAAGGTAATTTTAAGTTGAGTTTACTCATGTTCCTTTCTAAGTTTAACCTTAAAGGGATACTCCACTTTTTTTTTGGAAATAGGCTCATTTTACAACTCCCTCAGAGTTAAACAGTTGAGTTTTACCATTTTCGAATCCATTCAGATGATTTTCTGATATTTAGTTTCTGATATTTAGACATTTTCTGGTCTCATTGACTTCCATAGTAGGAAAAAATATATACTATGGTAGTCAATGAGACCAGAAACTGTCTGGTTACTGATATTCTGAATGGATTCAAAAACGGTAAAACTCAACAGTTTAACTCTGAGGGAGTTGTAAAATGAGCCTTTTCCAAAAAAAAGTGGAGTATGCCTTTAAATAGTTTACCGAAATTTACCAAAATTCTGATGAATCATCCTGCACTGATTTTCATCCTATTAAATGCACCCTAAAATCAAAATATCCCCCCCACTAATACCACCTTCTCCTCCCTAATGAGGAAAAATACTCTACTCTTCAAAAGTTTAGGGTCAGTGATTTATCTTTTTTTTTTTTCAAAAAGAAACGTTTTTTTTTTTAAAAATGCCAATATTATAATGTTACAATATTACTGTTTTACTGCATTTTTGATCAAATAAGAGCATAAGAAAACATTACTGTAATAGCATTGTTAAATAACCATATGATTTTAGCTGTGTTGTCGTTCCATTTCCAAATGGACTCAGTGAGTCATCCTGAATACTGCAAATTTGGGTTTATTTGACGTGTTACCATTTATTTGACATGCTCCTTTTGGCATATTTTATAATATTTTGTATAAATCCTACCAACATCAAACCTTAAAACATTATACTTTAAGTAAAATGAACCGATTCTGAACAAAAGTGTTAACATTTACCAATGTTTCTGTGATTTACTACCCCAGCTGCCCACGTACTATATGTCAGTAGGTGGTTTAATGGGAAAGCCCCACTTAGAGAACAAATGCATTCCGTCCCTTTATCACCATGTCAGAGGCCGGGCATTGCTGCTTGCCATAAATCACTGGGAGATGTGTGTGGTATGTGTTTGCATATGTGTTAGCAGTTTTTCTATGACTCCAGACAGATTTCAGAAGGATCTTTTGTAGATGCGTCTCATACAATGTACTTTCTTTTTATCATTTATCATGGGTTATAGTGAGCTCTGATCTGACAGTGGATTTTGGTGTAATATTCAATGCCTCAAGATAGTTGGCTGTAGATTACTCAGGAGGTGCAATTTGACTCTCACTAACACTGTTACAGTTTTTAAAGACAACATCCCTATAATTAAGGTCAAGATAAGGTTAAGTGCACTGCCCAAGGGCATGACATTAACATGCAGGGCAAGCCAGTACCTACATGCCTGCAAATATTCCCAGTGACCCTCCAAGTTATACCAGTCCTAACTTAGAAGCTGCATGCATAGATCCTAAAACTGTGACTAAAATCACAAATGCAGAAAATAAACATTTGTGACAATCTTATTATTTACAATCTAGTTATGAAAACTTATTTCCCTCATTACAGCATGTGCTAATGTGTCCCGAACACAGCAGTGAACACAACACGAGCCTTGATATCCAATTCCTGAGCAAATGACTCAAAATAGATTCTTTTTAATAAATCAGTCTAAAAGATTCATGCACACAGAGTGCGTTTATGCTGGGCTGCTTTTCCACTGTTTTTCTTTGTAAACATGCGCCAGATGTGTTTGGCCATTGCACTGGCATTCTTTGTAGCCTCTGAATGAAGACATTCAGTTTTTCATTCCCTATCCTGACCTGATCAAGCTTGTAAACGCTAAAACCCGTTCTGTTCAGAATCCCCAGTCAGTGAATCATTCAGAGCTGCTGTTTACCTCACTGAATCATAAGTCTTTTTCCCCTTTTTTGTTATACGAAACAAACCTGGAGCAGTTAATATGATGTACTTCAGATCTGTGGACTTACATTAATCTATTTACTGACTTGATGTTTATATGACAAATGTAATAAAGATACATAATCACATGATAGTGATAATATAATCTAAAACAAGATATTTTACAAAAACATCATTGTTTAACATAATGAGTTCCAGTTGTGATGATGTAAACTGTGAAGTGGATGACATGTTGCAAACATAAGCAACATAACATTTACCATATTATTTAAAAGTTGTAGTTTACAGCAAAGTAAAAGAGCATTGTTACATGAGCTTGTATTCTGGCGATGATCAAAGGATGACATAAACGTGAACTGCAGCAACATAAAAGCAAAAGTGTCTCAGAGGGAGGGACTCTTTGTTGATTCTAGGCAGAGTCAGTCTCATATATAAATGTAGTTCAGCTCTGTAATTTTGTCTGATTGTGTGTGGCATTGAAATATGTTTGTGTGTGTGCATGTGACATTAGGCTCTTGTGGTCATACCTTTACACAGGAATACTTATTTGTTTGAAAAGACTTTAAGAGCTGTTTGTACGTGCCTATTGGCTGATTTCCGTTTTAATTTAGATGCCTTTTATGCTTTACAACCGTGTGTGTGTTTAGTGGGTGGATGTTGGGAAGAAAGAGAAAAAAAGTCAATTGTGTGCATTCTTATTCGTGTACACAATAAATCGTGTAAAAGGCAAGCTTTGTATTGTGTATGCTGTACTGGGAATACATGGCCACATTTAGTCCTTGTGGTTTTATTCGTGACTTTTCTCCATACATCTCCCTATCCGTTCTGTGATTCCAGATCAAATGAGCAAGCAGACGACCTCTCAAACGAAAGGTAAAACAAAGAATAGGTTTATGCAACCTGAGTGTGAATAACGCATATGTGCGTGGGTTTGACAGGCATGTGTTAGCTATGAAAGGAAAATTATTTCTAGTTGTGGACGAGGTCCAAGCTGAGGTTTAAATGGCATGCCGTTTGGCAAAACCCTGTCTTTGCTTGAGCTTCTGCAAATTGTTGCCTTAAAAAGCTGCTTCCCCAAAAGATTTTCCACCGTAACGTCACAAATCAACCGCTAGAAACGACGCAATGGGGAGCAGATAATGAGAACCTCCACCCCATCAACTGCTCTCAATCCAGCACTGGTCACTTCACCATGTCATTTGGTTGTAAAAACAGGAATTTCCTAATTGTTTAATTAGACCCAGGTCATTTCTACATGCTATGTGACATGTTATCGTCCTGGTACAAACAGACCTGAACCTTGCCTTGTGACCCTCCGAACACGTTTACACATTCCAGCTGATTTCCTCTGGATATTCCCATACTTGCTGTTCACATTAGTGCTTTGAATAGCATGATGAAGTGGGGATTTAAGACCACGTTGTAGCTGCAGACATTTATCTTTTACAGGTCCCCTGTGATTTGAGTTCTCCTTTAGTTCAACTTTATTTCAGCGGTACGGTGATTTATCAATTACATATGTGATTATGTTATTTGCAGAATTGCCGCAAAGCAATTAGAGGACAAGTGGAAAGTATGACTTTGCTGCTTGGTCTTGGTATGAGTTTGGTCATGTTTTTTTGGGTAAACCAGTAAAAGGGTGATAAACTTCCCCTGGTCACATGTTCAGGCAGCGATGGGCCTTGGACATTTGCTGGCACAACAAGCTTTAATATGAGCTATGTCATATAAAATGCAATTTAAAATCAATCTGATGCTAAAGCTAAAGCTTTATTTTGAGGCAGTTGTTTGTTTGCTTGCAAATATGTTGTTCTTTTTCAACATTTTCGTCCCGTCATATATCTAGTCCATCTTGAACGGTTTTACCCAAAAATGAACAGTCTGTCATAAATTCCTCACCCTCATGTCATTCCAAACCAAATTAATTTCTTATGTGCAACACAAAAGGTACATTTTTGAAACAAATTCCGGCTACTCTTTTCCATATCATGAAATGACTGAGGACGGTGGCTGTCAAGCTACAAAATTATAAAAGTGTATCCTAAAAGTGGTCTAGAAGTATAGTACGAGTCTTCATAGACTATATTCGAGTTATTCACTGAAAGTTCATGAGAGAAGTAACTTTGTTTCATTTATTGTGAGTCACATTCTTTTAAATGAATCAGATTCAGTTCACAAAAATTTGAATGATTCTTTTACGAATCAGAATCAAATACAGTTTTCGAGTTCAACTCAATGATTACTGTAAGTTGCTGTGAATCAGTGAATAATGACTTAAATTTCAGTCTGTTATTATTGTATGACTTTAAAAGCACACAAACAACTTTTATGATTTTAATGTTGCTTTTGCAACATTTTTGAAGTGTGAATGTCCCAGTCCAAATTCATTTGCAAGTGCATGGAAATGCATTATTTTGTGTTACACGGAAGAAATAAAATCATGCAGTTGTGAGGATGAGTATATGATGACAGAAGTTAATTTTTTGGTTATTTGGTTTAATTTGATTATATCTCTTACTTAAAATAAAATTATTTTTAAGTTTATTTTAAGTTAATTTTTTTAAGCACTGAGTTTTAAGACATTAGCTGAGTAAGTGTTTCTATGTGAGTCTTGTATTTAATTTAGCACTAATAATTAAAATATATATTATATATTAGTAGCTGTAAAAATATATTTTCATGATTTGTTATCACCACATTTTTTCTTTTGTCAAATCAACTTAGATAATTTTATGAAGTTCAGATAACATAATATTTTGAGTTTATGATGATTAAATCAATCTCCTTCATTGGATTAACTCTATTTTTCTATTTCAATTAACTTACTTTTTTTTTTTTTTAGTTAAACCAAGATTTTTTTTTATAGTGTATGCCAATTATTTAAACATATTTATGTTGGTGGGGAATTCCATGTGCTTGTTCATTGTTTCTAACCAAGTGTTGAGTGAACATCCTTTAACGTTTAACACCTTTGCACTATGCACTTTGATTAACATGTTCAAATCTCGATCCCTTGATCGCTCTCCCTGCCACTGACGCTACACCCTGCGGGGATACACGCCATACAGGAAACCACGCAGTGTGTTTTGGCAGACTTTGATGACATAGACAGGGCCCAATGTCCTTCAGCACAGGAAGGGACAGAGAGATAGCCCTAAAAAGAGGAAGGTGTGAACGAACAGGGTGTTCACCTGCAGCTGACCTAGAGGAAAGGCGTTGTGGGTCCGTTTTGAGGCAAATATGGCATAAAATTAAGCTTATAATGAAGGCATATTACTCAATTTGTGACATTTATCTCAACAGCTAAATCCCTGTTACAGCCAGTTTTATTTTCAGAGGAGCATCTGTGTAAGAAGATAGATGGTTATGTGCACCTCTGATTTACGATCTTGTTGGGCTGAAATCACAGGGGTTTTATGGGAACATGCTTCACACTGTGTAAAGACCATACCACACTGAAATGATAACACCTGGAGCTTGTAAAGAAACACAGAGAGAGAAAGTGAGAAGACTACCTCCATTATTCTCCAGGGTATACTTGCTGTCGCATATGTCCATTTTCTGTATGTATTTATGTGTGTATGATGAATTAATGATACGCAGCAGGTGGTATCTGATATCAACTGTACAGGTTGATAAATGTGTGTGCTAAAATAGTGAGACATTTCACAAAAGCCTCTTTGAATTAAAGCTGGATTTGGTTTGTGTGAGAGCCTTCTGAAATCCTCGAGTTTGAAGCATCTTTTTTTTCACTGGATCAAATTTACTTTAATTCTTCATGAGAACAGGGTGTGTTTTCGTAAATGTACTGTCTGTTTGGCTTTGGATCTTTTCTTGGCATCAGCATAGTAGTGGTTATGTGATACCATCACTCCACCAATATCTGAAGATTTCTAAAAAGTAAGCGAGCACTGAAAGTGATCTGATACCGGTTGGTGAAGACTATATACCACTAGGCGAGATGAGACATGACTGAAGGAAAAAAAAAGTTTATTGGTGTTGTTGCAAGTGGACTCTGGTTTCCATTAACGTTAAAAGGTTTGGGGTCAGTCAGAATTTCTTTTTCTTTTTTCTTTTATAAATACTTTTATTCGGAAAGGACACATTAAATTGATCAAAAGGATGATTTCTGAAGGATCACGTGACACTGAAGTAATAAATTTGCATTTAAAATCCAGCAAAATAAAAGGGGAAATCAGGATGATGCTTTGGTTATGCACAATTACTGTAAATAACTCTTTTGTCTGTCTGAAAATTGTCCAAGATATTATTCTTTTGTCATATTACTGTCATGAGATTCAGCATCAAACATCTGTGACAGTGAATCCGTATTTGTCTGTATCAGTCTTTTAGTGACGTATGACGGGTGTGTGTAGTAGAGGTGAATGGGACAGCAGACCCTTTTACATTTTTCCAGGAAGTAAAAGGTGTTGTATCCTGTCAGAGCCACACCAGTGATAGAAAGTGAGCCCATAATCCTTCACTTCCTGAGCCAAAAGTACCAGAGTGATGTATAAATGCACCATTGGCTCTGGGGTGAGGGTTGGATCATGACCGGAGGAGCCAGGAATCCTCACCGATTCATCACATGTCGCTGAGACAGACAGACACAGAATGTCTCCTACAAAGTCTCTTTGAAGAAAATGATGCAATAATTTACCTCCTTACTCATTATGTGTTTATATTTAAACGATTACTCAACATAACATTCAGGATTTTTGTTTATTCTGGATTAGTGGATCGCCATAGTGGCAAAAGTAAATGGGAAAAAGAGAGACAGAGATAAAGAGCGAGACAGAAAGGATAACAGATGAGAAAGGAAGTCTTTAATCCTCGCTGAAGTGCTGTGTGTTGCTATCTTCATGCCGACTGCATTGCTGCCATACCGCACCGGCTGCCACAAACCTCCATGAGCCACTGTGGGGTTGTTGTCATGGACACTCGAGACAACTGCAGCAAACTGAGGGTCGGTCTCAAACAATCTGGTCACATTTCATTGAGCTCTCTTATTCTTGACCACAACCACACTAGCTTTCTCTCAAACTCATGGGGTTTTTAGATTCAGATGTTTTGCTTGAGTTTACAGTGCTGATGTGGTTATTGTGGTAGTGTGCCAGTTATATTCTGACCAATTTAGTTCCAATGAAGGTGGTTTTAATATTCATATCCCATATCTGTATTTGAAGAGTTCAGATGCAAAAGCCTCTAAGTGCCATTTGAAATTTTCTTCTAAAATTATCATTTTTATCAAGCTTGTATATTCAAGTTCAGTAATTTCACTTAAATGGCAATGAAGATTACCTATTAATTGTCATTTAAGTGAAATTACTGAACTTAAATACACAAGCTTGATAAAAATGGTCATTCTAGAACAAAATTTCAAATGGCACTTAGAGGCTTTTGCATCTGAACTCTTCATTTCTTCTCCCTATTGCAGTCAGGTTCTCCGGGCTGCGTTTCTCAAAACTATTGTGAGCTAAGTTGATCGTAGAAACTAATGGATCTTGCTTACGATGCTTTTGACTTGGGACGTCTTTTGACCATACTTTAACATCCGCCTTTTTAGGGTACCCTTAAACGTCGGTTAGATGGCGTTATCGGATCCTAACCCTACCCCAGACCTAAACCTACCCTGTCACCTAACCGACGTTAAATGTATAGCGTCAGTTGTATGACGGCCCGGGATCGTCATGTAACCGACGTTTAAGGGTACCCTAAAAAGGCGGATGTTGACGTATGGTCAAAAGACGTCCCAAGACGTCAGTTGTATGACTTCTTGGGATGAGACTGTGTTAGCCTGGGTCAGTTTTTTGTTAGTTCAAATAGTCATGGTGGTGAAGACCGATAAAGCTTTAGCACTGAGGTCACGGTGT